CCCCCCCCCCCCCCAAAATAACCAAAAGAAGTATTTAATGTTTAATGGTCTCTTTAAACTCAATATCCAGAGATATGTTGTTAGCAGCCATGCTAGACCTGATCTTCTCATGAAGTATGTTCCAAAGCCAGAATGTAGATAGAAATAGGAATGAATATGGGGAAAAAGTTTTTCTTGTATATGTATGTAATGTTATGGATTGCCTTTATCTGAATGGACAGTTGCTCCAAGGGCAACCCAGTCAAGACAATAATATGTTGGTATAGCAGTTAAAGTGGTAATTTTAATTGCTAAAACTATTTTTTTGGGGGGGGGGCAATGTCAAATATACTTTATATATTTCTATTATTTCTTTATAAACATGGATACAAGAGGAGATTATAATTTATTTATAGATAGGAAGAAAATGTAGAAAACATCCATAAACTGGGTCTGGATTCTTCTTAAATAAATTATGTGGAGTTGCCCATTGGTTAAAATCATGGAAGACTGTAGTTTCACACTGAGGGAAAGCACGATTTTTAAAATTTATTCATATTTTTAAATGTCTTTATGCCTTTAATTTTTAGGGCTCAGTTTTATGAATTCTCCAAGGAATTGTCAAAGTTTTATAGTAATAAAAGAAAGATGTCTCATCCATTTCAAAGCATTCTGAAAAACAATTTTGTCCATGTTCTTCATCCTTGCAGAATGGGATCTGTCTTCTTGAGTAAACACAAATGGAGGAAAGCTGTGTGGTTATTTGACACGCTGCATTCAGTAAAAGCCCATGTTAACTCCAGTGTCATCCCCAGAGATGCACTAAAGACTGATACTGCAAGTGCACACTTCAGCTGCCTCTTGACAGCACCATTGTGTCAAACTGTGTGCAAACCCCTGTGCTTCTATGTTGTACAAAGGAAAACCAGTTCTGTGACTGATAGCAGAGCATTTTCCTGCTGTATGTGAGGCACTCTACCTAAGTGTAGGTGAAGTCTTCTATGCTGTTTTTTTGTGCCTCTCAATTCTTAGTGTAGCTGCCTCCACAACACTAATATGAGGTGTCCCTGGCCATGGCAGGGTGGAGGAAGGGAGTGGTTTGCAACAAGATGATCTTTAAGGTCCCTTCCAACCCAAACCATTCTATGACTCTATAAGGTATGTAAAATACTCTGCCACCACTTGCATTTGGTCTGGATCCAATTTGATCTGAGATTTTTTGACACAACGGTGGCACAGAGGAAGTGAGTCCTTGTTTGAAATAAGAGAGAAATTTGGAATCCCAGGTGTCCTTTGCAATGATCTAAAAGATTACCACTAAGAACAGCCATTACTGGGTTGACTCCCTCATTGAAGTATTCTCCCTGTGTTCTCAGTAAAGGAATTGCTGTCCCTGCCACTAGTAATTTGAGAATAGTTGCTTTTAATGAATTATGTGTAGCAACTAGAGCCTGTCCCTGATTTTATGATGCAGAAATGGCTAAATTAGAGAAGATTAATCTATGGAGTCTGACTACTGCTCCTCACATCAGTCTGGACCTCAGAATATTGGGCTGAACTGTGCTGATCAGACTTGCTTCAGGTTCAGGAGCTGTAATGAGGAATGCAGAATAACTTGGCACAGGAGAAAATGGGAGATTGTGCCATGCTGCAATAGGCACAGAGCTGATTCTAAAGGGATATGATCAATAATACTGGAGTGAGCAAAGATCAGGTTGAGTACAGTGTAATAAGGAAGAGTCAAGACTGTGCAAATAAGATGAAGTAGATGAATAAACTAGAAAGGTTAATTCTATCTTGTCTCAGTAAGAAGAGATGCAGTCTTTTACAGTTGGGATATGGTAATAGAAATAAAAATGATCACAGAATGGGCAAAGGTTTTAATATTATATTAAAGCCTTCTGCCCTGGTAGTATTTAATGGAGTAGGTATTCTGGCAGTAGGTAGATGAGTCTATTCTTCCGGGGAAGTAAAAATGTCCTTTTTTGTGAATCTGTGTTTAAATAGTCCTACGCTCATTTTTATTTTTTGCATAAAATAATGGCTACTTTCTGCTTCCTTCTATGATTTATTTTCCTCCTTTTGTGTAGCTCTCAAGGCTTTTCTTGTGTTGTTTATTTTTAATGTAGTCCATCTGTTGTACAGACCAAAAAATTAGAATGACACTCTAAACCACTTTTCTTGCTAGTCTGAAGATAAATATTGCTTCCTGTGATAATTCTGAATGGCAAAGTATTCTCCTTTTAAGTAGGATTTGCTGTTTAAAAAAATCCAAAACCTCAAACAAAACCCAAGAATCCAAAAAAACCCCAACCAAATGAAAAAAAAACCCCAAACCCCTCCTAGAAGTGTGTAATGAGAGGTTGGTTACTTTTTTTTTCTTGAAGTAATTTATGACCTCTTTGCTAATTAAATACCACTAAACTGTCCCTGGATACTAATTAAGTCCTTTCAGATTTGCAAATTTGCTACAGTCAATTGTCTTTAAGAAAGAAAAGTGGGAAAATGGCAGTATGTTCATCAGCTACATGTCCTAATGGATTTAATTAGTCTCTAAACAGTAGCTGAATTTCAAGAACATATTCTAATCTCTCTGCTAAAGAAAACAAACTATACAAACTGTAAATAAGTTTGTGAATCTGAGAATTTAAAATAAAAAAGAATACATGAATAGTCAGATGCTGAGGCCTTTAAATTATAGTGGCACTTGTATAGATATCAATATATTGATATTTTTATATATCAACAGAACAAGTTGCTATAAACAGGGTTCTGGGAATTTTTTCTTAATTAACTTTTGTTTTGGTCTTGGGTGAATGAGTATAAACACCAAAAATCTGTTACATCTATGAACAGAAGCCAAAGTAAAAGCTGGAAAAAAAACATTTCAGAAATAAAAATGTCTTATGCTGGTCTTTCATTCTGAACTCTGTGCTTTAATTCAAATGAAGGGAATAGAAAGATGTCATTTTGTTGATATTTTTACTCTAGTAGTGTTTTGTAAATAAAACTGCAATTTCTTTCTTGGGACCAGTATTAAAATTCACATGGTCTCATTCCCACTGTATTTAGCATTGTTCTGGCATCACCTTGAGTGCTCTGTGCATTGCAGGACCCCAAAATTTAAAGATAATATTAAGATACATGATTGTGTCCAGAAGAGAGCAACAAAGCTGGTGAAAGTGCTGGAATGCATGATGCCCTATGAGGAATGGCTGAGGACTTGGAGCTTGTCTAGTTTGAAGAAAAGAAGGTTGAGGGGTGACCCTATGGCTTTTTAGAGCTTCCTGAGGAGGGAGGTGGACAGGGAGGTGCTGGTCTCTTCTTTCTGAGAGGACATGTGTGAATGGCTCAAAGTTACATCAGGGGAGGTTCAGATTTGATATTAGGAAACATT